TGCCGAATTGTACGAGCCTTTGGTCGAGGATGAAGGAGGCAGGCTGGAAACCCACATTCCTGAAGGCCTGACTGCCGTCTGCAACCGGGATCTCATTAGCCAGGTTCTCGTCAATCTTATTGAAAATGCCTTGAAATATGGTCGTCCGGACAACGGGGAAATTGTGATCCGGCTGTCTGCAAAGGAAAAGGATGGCCGCGTCGACCTGACAGTCGCCGACAACGGCCCCGGAATTCCCGACAAGGACCTCGATCGGGTCATGGATCGCTTTGTCCGGCTGGAAGAAAGCAGGTCGGAACCTGGAACGGGCTTGGGATTGAGCCTTGTCAAAGCCGTTGCCCGCTTGCATGGGGGAGACTTGCGCTTCAAAAATGAGGACGTGGGCCTTTCAGCCCGAATAGATCTGGCGCCGGTCGCGCCGGAAAACAGCAGGAGCGGGCATGGCGAAGGACAATCCGGACAGGCAGGGCAGCCGGCAGGAAATTGACAAGCAGCCCCAACTCCTTGTCGATCGTCTTGCAATCGTTCCTGTAACACCTGATGCCGATCGTGCCACCCTGTTCTTAAAGGATCTTCTTGATCATCCGGAAGCCGGTGACACGCTGAGATCGCAATTCGGTTCACACAGGAACCTGGAACCGTTCCTGATGGGGATCGTCGGCAACTCGCCTTATCTGCGCGATCTCATGTTGGCAGACCCACCGAGGCTCCTGAGCATCCTGAAGGAAGCACCGGAACTCCGGATCCGGCGGCTTCTGTCACTGGCACATGACACAACGGCGGAGGATGAAGCCGGTATCATGCGGGCGTTGAGGTTGCTCAAGCACGATCTTGCGCTGACCTTGGGGCTTGCCGACATCTGTGGTGCAATCGACCTGGAACAGGTGACAGGTGCACTTGCCGGGTTTGCCGATGCGGCACTTACGGCGGCCATTCGTTTTTGCCTGGGAGATCTGTCACGCCGGAACAAGTTCGAGCCGATAGATCAGGAAAAACCCGAAGTCGGCAGCGGTTTGATCGTTCTTGCCATGGGCAAGCACGGCGCGAACGAGCTGAATTACTCATCCGACATCGACCTGATTGTTCTCTACGACCCCGACAAAGCGCCGATGGCGGCAGGAGTGGAAGCACCGGTTGAGTTCGTCCGCCTGACACGGCGCCTGGTCAAGATCATGCAGGACAGAACAGCAGATGGCTACGTCTTCCGCACAGATCTGCGTTTGCGGCCGGATCCGGGCGCCACGCCGCTGGCAATGTCAGTTCCCGCTGCACTGGTTTATTACGAATCCCTTGGCCAGAATTGGGAACGCGCGGCCCTGATAAAGGCGCGCGCATGTGCCGGCGACTTGCCGGCCGGTGAAGCGTTTCTGCACGAAATCGTCCCGTTCATCTGGCGCAAATATCTGGATTTTGCGGCAATTGCCGACGTGCAGTCGATCAAACGGCAGATCCATATGCACAAGGGGCACAGCGCAATTGCCGTTGCAGGGCACAACGTCAAGCTGGGGCGCGGTGGTATCCGTGAAGTCGAGTTTTTTGTTCAAACTCAGCAACTCATTGCAGGTGGCCGCAATCCGGCGCTGCGGGGCCGGCGTACGGTTGATATGCTGGATGCCCTCAGCGAAGCCGACTGGATCCGCCTCAAGACACGCGACGAGATGCGCGAGGCCTATGTGTTCCTGCGCAATGTCGAACATCGCATCCAGATGTTGAACGATGAGCAGACGCAACTGCTGCCAAAGGACACAGAAGGCCTGACGCGCATCGCGTCCTTGATGGGTTTTGTCACCCTTCAGTCGTTCGAGGACGAGTTTCTGGCTCACATGAAAAAGGTTCAGCATCATTACGCTGAGCTTTTTGAAGATGAGCCTGGACTGTCTTCTGAGTTGGGCAGCCTGGTATTCACGGGAGACGACCACGATCCGGAGACGTTGGAAACCCTGTCGCGTCTGGGGTTCAAACAACCGGCTGAGGCCGCGAGCATCGTGAAGTCCTGGCATTTCGGCCGCTATCCGTGCACTCGTTCGACCAAATCCCGTGAACGGCTGACGGAGATGCATCCGACCCTGATCGGAGCGCTTGCGGCGACCGACAATGCCGATGCGGCGCTGGTCGCGTTCGACAGCTTTATGTCGAAACTGCCGGCGGGAGTTCAGCTCTTTTCTCTTCTGCGATCCAATCCGCAATTATTGAGCCTGCTTGCCACGACCATGGGCGCGGCGCCGCGGCTTGCAGAAACGGTCTCCAAACGCGTTCATGTGCTGGACGCGGTACTTGATCCGGCCTTTTTCGGAGCCATGCCGAGTGTCGAAGAGTTTCGTGTTGGTCTCGACCGCACTCTGTCCCAGGCCCGGTTTTACGAGGAGGCACTCGACAGGGCGCGCATCTTTGCCCAGGAGCAACAATTCCTGATCGGTCTGCGTTTGATCTCCGATACACTTTCTGCCGATCGTGTCGGCTTTGCGTTGGCGCGCCTGGCGGAAGTCGTCGTGGACAGGCTGCTCCGGCAGGTCGTGCTTCATGTCGGCGAAACGCATGGCGTTGTGCCGGGTGGCAATGTCGCGGTGTTGGCCATGGGCAAACTGGGCGGCAGGGAAGTGACGGCATCGTCAGACCTTGATCTGATCCTGCTTTACGAGGCCCCGGACGGTGTCAAGGAGTCCGATGGCAAAAGGCCGCTGGCCATTACCCAGTATTACATGCGTTTGACGCAACGGCTTGTGACGGCCCTTTCGGCACCCACCGCGGAAGGACAGCTTTACGAAGTTGATTTCCGTTTGCGTCCGTCTGGAAACGCAGGGCCGCTGGCAACCAATCTGGAAGGCTTTATCACCTATCAGGAAAAAAATGCCTGGACCTGGGAGCACATGGCCTTGACGAGAGCCAGGGTGATCGCGTCTTCGAACCCGGAATTCAGGCAGAAGATCATGGATAACATCCGGGAGACACTCACGAAATCCCGGGACAGGGCCAAGCTTGCGGATGATGTTCGCTCCATGCGGGCGAGGATCGAAAAGGAAAAGGGCACGAAAGACGTCTGGGACATGAAGCAGGTTGCCGGCGGTCTCGTGGATATCGAATTTATCGCACAGTACCTTCAACTTGTGCATGCGCATGAAACGCCCGGTGTGCTGGCACAGGGTACGGAAGAAGCGCTGGAAGGTCTCCGGGAGGCAGATTGCCTGGATCCCGGTGATGCCGAGCTGCTCCTGGAGGCATTGCGAATGTATCAGCGGCTGACACAGGTGTTGCGCCTGTCGCTCTCGGGAAAGTTCGTGGCGACACAAGCCCCCGGGGGTGTTCTGGATTTGCTTGTACAGGCCTCGAACTGCCCGACATTCACCCGGCTCGAGATAGAACTGGCGGAGCTCCAGAACAGGGTCCGCCAGACATTCGTAAAGTTGGTTGGCCCGGTCGAAGCCGTCGAGACAAAGGTCTCTCCCTGATTGCCCAGACATCATTCCCCGGGAAGATTGCGCCCTCTTTGTAAGAACCTGGCGGATCACGGAAATGGCTCCCGCCCAGTTGGCGGAAGCAAGTCGTTTCCAGGTTGGACTCATTCAACCTTGAGCTGGCGACGCGCATCAAAATCTTCCAGCGTCTGGTAGAAAGTGTCAGCCGGTCCGGCAATCTTTGGGTCGGGGTCCAATTGGATCTGGGCATCTGCCCCGGGATAAGGCAGCGATCTGGCGAAATAGCGCATGCAATTCAGACGTGCTCGCTTCTTGTCATCGGAACGCACGACGGTCCAGGGGGCGTCGGCGGTGTGGGTATAGAAAAACATGTTTTCCTTGGCTTCTGAATAGTCGTCCCACATATCAAGCGATTGAACGTCGACCGGACTCAGCTTCCAGTGTTTCAACGGATCGCTGTTGCGCGCCTGAAAGCGGCGAAATTGTTCTTCCCGGCTGACGGAAAACCAGAATTTGAAGAGACGTATGCCGCTTCGCACAAGCATGCGCTCGAATTCGGGCACCTGGCGCATGAATTCCATGTACTCCGCAGGTGAACAGAACCCCATGACCTTTTCGACACCGGCACGATTGTACCAGGAACGGTCGAACAGAACGATTTCACCCCTGGTCGGCAGGTGCTGAACGTAGCGCTGAAAATACCACTGTCCCTTTTCCTCTTCCGTTGGCTTCTCGAGCGCAACAACCCGGGCGCCGCGAGGGTTCAGGTGCTCCATGAAACGTTTGATCGTGCCGCCTTTGCCTGCTGCATCCCGACCTTCGAAAATGACAACTATGCGCTGGCCGCTGTCTTTTACCCAGTTTTGGACTTTCAGAAGTTCAATCTGAAGCTCCTGTTTACGCGCCTCATACTGTTCTCTGCGCATGCGTCTCTTGTAGGGATAGTTTTCCGGCAGTCGCGCACTGTTGCCTTTCGAAATAGATCGCTCATGCAACAGGAGCGCTGGACTTTTGTGTACCGCCGCATGGTGAACGGACTTGATGGTCACTGTGTTGCCGGCCTCTGGAGGTGATGCAGCCCGAGGCCCTGCTTCCCGCCGGTTGGAGGTCTTTTTGGTGGATGTTTTGGTGTCGCGCTCAGCGGTTGATACGTCCGGCGTACGTTCTTCTTTGGATCTCGCTTTCATGGCCTCCCTTTCGTTGCTGGTATGAAAACACGCGGCAAGTTGTGCTCGCGCCTTTCCGGGCAATTCGACCTGTGCGAAGTGCACATCAACTGGAATGGAAACCAAAGAATTGCCGCCATGCATTGATTTCAGGCAAGCGGAGCAAATTTTTTTCGTTACGAAGACAAGGTCTTCGCGCGCTGAAGAGCCAAATCTGTTTCGGCAGGAGGCCGTAACCGCGCAACTGTGTTCGGAGAAGGGGTTTTCGCGACCGGGATTGCATGTCGGCCGCAAGACTGTGTTGCTCCGATACGCAATGGGAGCAGGCCCTATCTGTTTTTAATGTATTGCAAACGGGCGCTGGCTTACCGGAAATTGGACGTGCGGATCAGAGGATTCAGGCCGGGACAGTTCGTTAGGCTCAGCTGTCTGCAAGCGGCAACGTGAAGCTGACGGTCGTGCCTTTTTTCACTTCCGATCGGATCGACAGCTTACCGCCATGGAGCTCCACGAGGGACCGTGCGATGGCAAGCCCGAGCCCGGATCCCTGATGGGTCTTGGTGAACTGGTTTTCCACCTGGACAAAGGGCTCCGCAAGCCGTTCGATATCACGTTCGGAAATGCCGATTCCCGTGTCTGTAACTTCGAAGCGCAACTTGTCGCCGCGCGGTTCCGCCTTGAGTGCAACCACGCCGCTGTCCGAGGTAAACTTGACCGCATTGGCAAGCAGGTTGAGCAGGATCTGCTTCAATGCCCGCTTGTCTGCGTGAACCATAAGATTTTCGGCGACGTCCGTTGTGACGGAAATATTCTTTTCTGTCGCGGCGCCCGTTACGATCCGGCTTGCATCATCCGTGACAGAAGCGGCATTCACGACTTCCGTATCGATAGACATCCGGCCAGCCTCGATCTTGGACATGTCGAGGATGTCGTTGATCACGTTGAGGAGATAAGTGCCGGAGGAATAGATGTCCTTGCAATAATCGTTGTATCGTTCCGTGCCGATAGGGCCGAACATTTCCTGCGTCATGATGTCGGAGAAGCCGATAATGGCGTTCAGGGGTGTCCTGAGTTCATGGGAAATATTGGCGAGAAACTCGGATTTGGCCTTGTTGGCGGCTTCCGCTCGGGTTTTTTCTTCCTGATATTTGTCGGCCATTTCCACCAGTTGGCGTGCCTGGTATTCCAGTGTCTGTCGCGACTTTTGAAGATCCGATACAGTCGCTTTCAACCGCTTCTCGGACAACATCAGTTTTTCTTCGTGTTTTTTCAGCGCCGTGATGTCGGTGCCGACCGACACGAATCCACCGTCCTTGGTCCGGCGTTCGGAGATCTGCAGCCAACGGCGGTCTTCCAGTTGTGCTTCGTAAGAGCCTTCCGGCGCACCGCCCCGCTGCGTGACAGTCACGGGTTGCGGAGCGATTTCCGCATTCGATGCTGCGGCCATGACGTCCTGGTAAGGGGTGCCCGGGTTGACGGCTGCATTCGGCAAGTTGTGCAAGGACTGATAATTTGAGTTGCAGATCACCAGTTCGTTGTTGGCGTTCCACAGAACGAAAGCTTCGGATATTGTTTCGATTGCGTCGCGCAGCCGCAAATCCGCCATCCGGCTTTTTTCCGCCAGCTTGTGCTGCTCGGTAATGTCGATGCAGATCCCGATGAGATGGGGTTCGGCGCGGCCGGCCTCGGACTGGATCTCGCCACGTGCACGCAACCAGATCCAGCTGCCGTCCGCATGACGCATCCTGAAGGTTTCGTCGACAAGTGTTTCACCGGTCTCCAGAAGGTGTTCCGCAAGTCCGAGAAGATCAATGTCGTCAGGGTGGGTAATGTCGGCAACATCGGCGAAGCTCAGGATGTCATCCTTCGGTTCACGCCCGAGTAGCTCATAAAGCGAGGAAGACCAGAACATGCGTCCACGCGAAAGATCCCAATCGAACAATCCGCATCGGCCGTGGGTGAGGGCTGTGTCGATGCGTGCCCGGGTGGCCGCATACATGTCATCGGCATGCTCGGCACGGCTCGCCTGACTGAAAAAGCCGTAGATAACGGCGAGCAGAACCAGGGCAGTCCCGGCAAACAGGGTGACATTTGCCGAAAGATCGTCACGCCAGTCCGCAAAGATGGCACTTTCCGGCTGCAACACGGCAATCATGCCAAGATTGCCGTTCAGATGATGCACGGTTGCAAGAAACTGCTCGCTGCCTTCACCACGTCCAAGGTCGACCGGAACGGGAAGAACACCAGCGCGCGCGCCGAACACTGTGAGCGGCTGGCTTGGGCTGAGCAGGTCGGCGATCGGACGGCCTTCCAGACCCGGATGTGCCGGGGCAGTCGCCGCGATCTTGCCGTTCGTATCCGCGACCAGAAAGATGCGGGATCTGCTTGTGGCGCCTGCCGGCAGACTGTCCGCAAGAGAGCGTTTCAAGGTTGTGCGAAACCCGACTTCCGGAAGAGTGCCTTCAATGGCGACGAGCCGGTTGGCAACCACCGTGGCCATCAGGCTCAGGGTCGTCTGCGCAGATTGCTCTGTTTCGGTGTACTCTGTCGCCAGTTCTCCAGCACGAAACAGGGCGAGAATGACGATAAAGACAATTGCCAGTCCGGGAATGATGCGCCGCATGACGCTGTCTGAGCTTATGATGGTGTCACGCAGGGAAACGAGAACCGGCCAGAACAGCAGGCTGGCTTTGCCTGCGCTCTTTTCGGAATCCGAATCCTTGTCGCTGCGCCGCGTGGTAGCGTCGCCAGCCATTGCTCGCGCCATTGGAAGTGTGCCTCAAAATCCGCCGCATCGGAGCTTGCCCCGAATCACTTCCATTTGAATCAAATCTTCGGTTCTTGTCTAGTCCTGATCAAGAAGAAAATGGTTAACGCGCATCATGACTCTCGGCATGTTTGTTAACCTTTTCCAGTAAATCACACTATTGCAATGTTCTGTCGATGATATCGCGGCTATCTCTTGACAGATCTTCGCATGATGAAATCTTCATGAGAGCGGATTCAGCCAAGGCACAACGATTGGCATCAAGGGCCCGCCAAGAGCGGAAGCTGGTCAAAAGTCGCGATGCGACCTGGGGATTGCGTTTGTCGATCTCAAGTACTGATTCGGCGACCAATTCGAATCCGGCCCCGTCAGGGCGGGCAAATTGCGTTGCATTGCCGGTCGCGAAGGACTGCAGCAGGGCACGAACCCTGTTCGGGTTGGTCGCGTCGTAAAGCGGATGAGAAAAGAGCGATTTGATAGTCGCCAGGGTTCCATCGCCTGGTGCGGTCGCCTGCACCATGAACCATTTGTCCATGGCCAGGGAGCTCTTCTCATGCCGTGAAAGATAAAGGTCCAGCGCAGCGGTTTCCCCGGGCATGTGGTCATGCACCAGAAGCATCAGGCCGGCGAGGCGGTCCGTCATGTTGTCGGCTGAGGAAAACCGGTCCCAGGTGAATTGCGCCGCATCTTCAGTATTCGAAACCGCATAGTAGTAGGCGGCCCGGTTGGACAATGCTCGTTTGCCGGCGGTTTCCGCGTCAGGGGAATAGTCTCCCCTAGGTGCGAATTCCAGCGCTGCAGTGCGCAATGCGCCATGGAATTGCCGAGCAATTGCCTGCCGCAACTGCTTGCGAGCCGCCAGAATGGCATCCGGGTCGACGTTCTTGCCGATTTCCTGGGCAATGTCGGCTTCACTCGGCAGCGTCAGCGCCAGCGCCTTGAGGGCGGGATCAAGGTTCTGATCATTCAGGACTGCGCCAAAAACCGAAACCACGCCATCAGCGGGCGCGCCTAGCTCGCCATGCCGTATTGTTCCCGTCAGCCTCACGAGCTCCTGCATGGCAAGAGATTGCACAGCCTGCCAGCGATTGAAGGGATCATTGTCCCGGGCGGCAAGAAACTGGAGATCTGCAGTTGCAAACTTCTGGTCAATTCGCACCGGGGCGGAAAACGCGCGCAGAAGCGACAAGACCGGTTGAGACGAGACACCTGAAAAGGTGATTTCGTGCCTGGATTTCTCCATCAGCAAGACATCACCCGATATCTTGATGCCGCTGGCGGAGGTTGCATGCATGTCTTTCCCATCCGGGCCAAGCAGACCAAAGCGGAGCGGGATCACAGCTGGTTTGCTGGACCTCTGTCCCGGAACGGGTGGAATTTCCTGGGAAAGCGAGAGCGAATAGGTCTGACGATCCGCATCGTAAGCCGATGCGACAGAAACAACGGGTGTTCCTGCCTGCTCATACCAGAGCGCGAATTGGCTGAGGTCCGTCCCGGTCGTGTCTTCGAAACAGGTCAGAAAGGCTTCGATCGTCGTCGCCTCTCCATCGTGTCGGTCGAAATAGAGATCCAGTCCCTTGTGGAAGCCCTCGTCACCAAGCACCGTCTTCAGCATGCGCACGACTTCGGCGCCTTTTTCATAAACGGTCGCCGTGTAGAAATTGTTGATCTCGTGATAGACCCGCGGTCGAACAGGGTGTGCCAGTGGGCCCGCATCTTCCGGAAACTGATGTGTTTTCAGTAGCCTGACATCGGTGATGCGTTTGCCCGGCCTGGATCGCATGTCGGAGGTGAATTCCTGATCACGGAAAACAGTCAGGCCTTCCTTGAGGCACAGCTGAAACCAGTCGCGGCAGGTAATGCGGTTTCCCGTCCAGTTGTGAAAATATTCGTGCGCGATGACCGCCTCGATATTGGCATAGTCCTGATCGGTCGCGGTTTCCGGATCGGCCAGAACATATTTGTCGTTGAAGATGTTCAGGCCCTTGTTTTCCATCGCGCCCATATTGAAATCCGAAACGGCAACGATGTTGAAGACATCCAGGTCATACTCCCGGCCGAACACGTCTTCATCCCACTTCATGGAGCGCTTGAGCGAATCCATTGCCCAGCTGCACAGCCCTTCGTTGCCGTGCTCAACGTAAATATTGAGGTCGACCTTCTTGTCTGATGCGGTGGTAAACCGGTCAGGAACCTGAGCAAGATTGCCTGCTACAAGTGCGAAGAGATAGGCCGGTTTGGGATGGGGATCATGCCAGAGCGCGTAGTGGCGGTCTGTCCCGTCGATATCACCCTTTTCCATCAGGTTGCCGTTTGCAAGCAGGACAGGGCAATCGTTTTTGGATGCTTCGACCCGTGTTGTGTAGATCGCGAGAACGTCCGGGCGGTCGAGGAAATACGTGATGCGCCGGAAACCTTCGGCCTCGCACTGGGTGCAATAGGTCCCTGAGGACCTGTACAGCCCCATCAGTTTGGTGTTGGCTTCCGGATTGATTTGCGTTGTGATTTTAAGATCGAATGGTTTACTTGGCGGTGCATGAATTTCCAGCTTGTCAGGCGAAACCGTGTAACCGTCCTCCGGCAATACCTCACCGTTCAGTTTCAATTCGCGAAGCGAAAGTTCGTCGCCGTCGAGCACCAAAGGTGTTCCGGCCTGCACATCTGCCTGTCTTGCGACCGATAGTGTTGCAACGACCTCGGTTTCGGCAGGATCAAGCTTTACTGTCAGGTGAACCTTTTCGATACGGTAGACGGGTGGTTGATAATCTTCCAGCCGAATGGCGGGCGCCGTTTCGGAACGCATCGAGGTCTCCTGGTATTTGGTTCATACGAAAGTGCAGGTCAGGGACGGCACCCTGAACCGGGGCTAACGCGTTAGCATGATCGTGCATTGTGGCAAAGTCCTGTTTCTGGTCCCGGCATCATCAAACATGCGTCCGGCGCAATGATCTGCAGAGTGGGCAGATTTTGACCTATGGACAGCCTTTGACTATGTGAGAGACGTCTTGAGTCACAGGGAAACAATTTATGAGTCGTCTGGACAGTTTTATCCGCCGAATGACCTCGCAGAAAATCTTGCTGGAATACCTGGTCGACAAGGTCAACCTTGTGGAGGGGCCGGTTCTGGAACTCGGCCTTGGCAATGGCAGAACCTATGATCACCTGAGGGAGATCTATCCCGACAAGGAAATCTTTGTTTTCGATTTCGCGATGAACTGCCATCCGAGCTGCGCGCCGGACGCGGATCACATGATACTCGGTGACATACGCGATACGCTTGCCTTCTGTGCTCCGCGTGTTCGGGCACAGGCCTCTTTCGCCCATATCGACATCGGATCGGCGGACCCGACAAACGATCTTGCAATCGTCAACTGGCTCGCACCGCTGATCGATGAACGCATGGCGGTTGGAGGCTTCGTTTTGACGGCACTCGAACTCGATCTGCCGAATTTCGAACTTCTCGAAAAACCGGAAGGCATCCATCCGGGCAGGTATCACATTTACCGCAAGTTCGCCGAAGCCTAACCCTTAATCGTTCAAACCGGGAAAAGTACATGTCCGCGCCCCTCGAAGGCATAAAGGTTGTCGAACTCGCACGCATTCTGGCCGGCCCCTGGACCGGCCAGACACTGGCCGATCTGGGTGCGGACGTGATCAAGGTGGAGAGCCCGCAGGGCGACGACACGAGGGGATGGGGCCCGCCATTCATCAAGGATGAAGAAGGCAACGATTTCGATGCGGCCTATTTTCATTCCTGCAACCGCGGAAAGCGGTCGGTGGTTGCCGATTTTCGCACAAAGGAAGGCCAGGAAATCGTTCGCAGGCTTGTTGCCCGGGCGGATGTACTGGTTGAAAATTTCAAGGTCGGCGGGCTTGCCAAATACGGCCTGGATTACGAGAGCCTGAAAGAGGTCAATCCGAAGCTGATCTATTGTTCCATTACCGGCTTCGGCCAGAATGGTCCCTACGCCCATCGCGCAGGATATGACTTCATGATTCAGGGTATGGGTGGCATCATGGACCTGACCGGCGAGCCGGAAGGCTCTCCGCAGAAGACCGGCGTGGCCTTCGCCGATATTTTCACCGGCCTTTATGGTGTGATTGGTGTCCTGAGTGCCCTTCGTCGCAGGGACGCCACCGGGGAGGGTGAATGGGTCGACATGGCGCTGCTCGATGCACAGGTTGCTGTTCTGGCCAATCAGGCTCTGAATTACTTTGTATCCGGAAAAGCGCCAAAGCGACTTGGGAACGCCCATCCGAACATAGTTCCCTATCAGGTTTTTTCCGCAAAGGATGGCCACCTCATCATTGCTGTCGGCAACGATAGTCAGTTTCAAAGACTGTGCGGCGTGCTCGGACTGCCTGAACTTTCAGATCAACCAAAATTCGCAACCAATGCCGCGCGCGTCGCTTCAAGATCCGAACTCGTCCCTCTGCTCAGTGCGGAAACTTCGAGCCGCGCGAGGGACGATCTCCTGACTGCACTGGAAATGGAAGGTGTGCCGGCCGGTCCCATCAATTCGGTCGAGGATGTTTTTGCCGACAGTCAGGTCCGGTCCAGAGGCCTGAAAGTTGATCTGCCGGCACATGGTGTCGAAGGTGGCGCGGTTTCTTCAGTGCGCACGCCGATTGCCTTCAGGAACGGCAATCTGGTTCTCGAACGGGCCGCACCATTACTGGGGGAACACACCGCTGAAGTGTTGACCGAACTCGGTTTGGATGCTGGCGGATCCGAAACATGACTTTTTCACCATGAGATGCTCCGTCCTATGAAAAACACCGAATATTTGCGCTTTATCGACAAAGAAGTTCTCTCTGAAAACTGGGGCAGGCTCACCAGGTATCGGCTGGAGTATCGGCGCCGGGACGGATCGTGGCAGGAGCTGAGCCGGGAATCCTATGATCACGGCAATGCCGTAACATGCCTTCTGTTTGATCCGGAAACAAAGTGTGTGCTGCTGACCCGCCAGTTCCGGCTACCTGTCCATTTGAACGGCAAGGATCCTTTCCTGATCGAGTCGCCTGCCGGATTGCTGGAAGGGGCTCACCCTGAGGACAGGATGCGTGCAGAACTTATCGAGGAAACCGGATATGAAGTCTCGGAACTCGAGCATCTTTTTGACGTGCACATGAGTCCGGGGTCGGTGACCGAGTGCCTTTCATTTTATTCAGGTACCTACCATCTGAACAACAAGGTGGGCGACGGTGGTGGTGTGGAACACGAAGGTGAGGACATTGAAGTCATGCATGTTCCGCTCCAGAAGGCGCTCGGGATGATCCGGACCGGAGAAATCTGTGATGCAAAAACGATCCTGCTTCTGCAAAATCTTGCGTTGCGCGATTACGCGTCGCATGACGGATAGCGTCCACGGGTTCCTGTCGTCGCGTTTCAGGTGGTCGACCGCCTTAATTTGACGCAAAAGATCAGGCAGGTAAGCTACAAAGGCAATGAGAGGACTTGCGCCTTATGCCAAGGAATAAGCGCGGTGATCGACGGATCAAACTCCCGCTGACATCAATTGTCGGTCTGGGGTTCGGTGCGTTTGTTGCGCTCGCCATCGGGTTGGTTTTGGGTCTCTCGGTGAGCGCGAACTTCAGCAACACGTTTTCCCTGCTCAACGACAAGACGATTTTGAGCACGGATGCGCTTGAAACACAGCTGCGTACTCACTTCACGTCCGTGGAAAAGGCCGTCGTGGGTCTGAAACCGTTTTTTGACGACGGGACGATCGGTTTTGAGGACCCCGAGCGCACGCTCGAAGACCTTTCGATCGCCCTGAAGTCCAATAGCGACGTTACGACCCTGGCTGTCACTGCAACGGATGGACGACGCCTTGGCATTTACCGGGCACCCTCAGGCAAACTGTGGCGGATAGAGACCGATGTGCCGCCGCCCGGCATGAACATGGCCGATCTTCCGGCTCTTGATCAGGCAAGTTTGCCCACTTGGGGCCCCTTGGTGGAACACGAGGTCGGACTTTTTGCCAATGTCTCGGTGCCCCTGGTGAGAGATGGAGAACTGATCGGCACCTTGACAGCTGCAAGCTCGATGAAAGATCTCTCCCATATCGTCAAGGCCCGGGACGAAGGTCTCAACAACACCATCTTCATAGTTGACGGGGCCGGGCGCGTCATAATGCATTCCGATGAAACCGGATTGCAGACAGGTGGGAGCATCAAGGCGAATTTGCCGGAAGCCTGGGAAAGGATCGGGGATCCGGTACTGGCAGGAATGGCAGACGAGCAACCGATCGAGGAGTTTCAAAAGGCCGCCGATCTCGGTATCGAAGTGTCTTTCGTCGAAGCGAACGATGACGAATACATCATCATGAAAGCTGAATTCGACGGCTTCAGCGACAAACCCTGGATTATCGGACAGTATTATCAGAGTGCAACGGTTTCCCGGGAGGTCCGCAGGCTCGCCGGCTCCATGTTTGTTGGGTTCGGCGCGCTTGTCATATCGGTTCTGATCGCTTTCTGGATCGGGCGCAGAGTGGCTCGTCCATTGCGCAATCTGGCGGTCCAGTCGGAGCGCGTCGGGACCCTTTCGCTGAACGAAGTCGAACCGATGCCACGCAGCCGCGTTGCAGAAATTGATCAGGTAGCCCTGGCCTTCAATTCGATGGTCGAAGGCTTGAAGGCGATGAACACTTACGTGCCGCGGTCGCTGTTCATCAAGTTGATGCGATTGGGAGGAAGCCAGGCAGCGGAAGCAAGAGAAGCCGAACTCACCATCCTGTTCACCGATATAGTCGGATTCACGGCGCTTTCCGAACATCTGAGCGCCGAAGAAACAGCGCGGATACTGAACGATCATTTTGCAATCCTGGTCGAAGCCGTTGAAGGAGAAGGGGGAACGGTCGACAAGTTCCTGGGCGACGGTATGCTTGCCTTCTGGGGAGCTCCGGATGAACGCCCCGACCATGCCGAGGCCGCGGTGAGAACGGCGCGGCGGATTGCATCCGCCCTTCATGAATCGAATGTGCAGGCCGAGGCCCAGGGCGGACCGCAGATCTTGACACGCATCGGCATACATTCAGGTCCGGCGGTCGTCGGAAACGTCGGCGCGCTGGATCGATGGAACTATACGGTTGTCGGCGACACGGTGAATGCTGCTGAACGACTTCAAACCCTCGGCAAGGAAGTCGACGGTGAACCGGAGGTGACCATACTTGCCAGTGCCGATACCGTTGCAAGGCTCCCGGGTGAACACAACAAGAGGCCTGTCGGTGCTCATCACCTCAGAGGTCGCAGTGGCTTGATGGAGGTTTACTGGATCGACCCCCATCCGCAGGCGCCTTCCAGGGAGACGTCACCGCAGGCAGTCCCGGTTTCCGCAGCCGAGTAATCTCGCAATTCCTGCATTGCAGATGCCTGTTTGGTGCAAGATTCTGAAAAAAAGACAGGAATTTGCCTGTTGCAATTCAAATCACAGCGTACTTCTTTGGAATTCTGCATTGCTATCCAACGGCGAATTTGGTTGTCTTTGTATTGCAAAAAAGGCTTAGTAAGCCTCACGCAGACAATCCTTGCCGGGGAGGAAAAGCGCAGTGAATGTTCTCTCGATCGAGGGACTGACAGTTGATTTTAATACGGCAGAAGGCCGGGTGCGGGCTGTCGACGACGTTTCCTTCGTCGTCCCGGAGAACCGCACGGTCGCACTGGTCGGTGAATCCGGTTCCGGCAAGACGGTTATTTCCCAAACGATCATGGGTTTGTTGCCTCAGGCAGCGGCAATTACTTCGGGCAAGGTAATTCTGGCCGATCCGACGGGGGCCGAACCGCCTGTCGATATTGCCGGTCTGGAACGCAAAGGCCCCCAGATGCGCCACCTGCGCGGAAATCGGGTTGCGATCATCTTTCAGGAACCGATGACATCGCTGTCACCGCTGCACACGATCGGCGACCAGATCGGTGAGGCGGCCCTTCTTCATCGTGATGTTTCGGGTGCGGAAGCCCGCGAACTCACACAGGAGATGCTGCGTCTAGTCCAGTTTCCCGATCCGGGCCGGGCGCTGGATACCTATCCATTCGAGCTTTCCGGCGGGTTGCGTCAACGTGCCATGATTGCAATGGCAATGATCTGTCATCCGGCACTGTTGATTGCAGACGAGCCGACAACGGCGCTCGACGTGACAATTCAGGCTGAGATCCTGAAACTTATCCGCGAGGTTCAGTCTGAATTGCGGATGTCCGTCCTGATGATCACGCATGATTTCGGCGTCGTGGCGAATATGGCTGACGAAATCGCGGTCATTTATCATGGCCGGATCATGGAGAAGGGGACGGCCAAGCAGCTTTTTTCCGATCCTCAGCATGATTATCTGAAAGCACTTTTGAATGCGGTTCCCAGTTTCCACATGGACAGGGACGAGCGGCTAGTTCCGATCCGACCAATTGAATTGAAATCGGAAGACCTGACGAAGAACAGGCCGCATTGCGACGTCGCACCGGGCGAACCCCTTGTTGAAATGAAGGATGTCACCAAGCAGTTTTCGCTGCGCAAGGGCTCGCTGCTGGGCTCC